CAATGGTTCCCACACTTTGGGAAGGTCTGGCCTAACACATGACGTGTTTTTTTAATTATATAGGCTAAAGGCAAAACATCAGAGCTTTTCTCTCTACAAAGAACTAAAACCATGTAAAGCACCAGCTTGTACCTAGAGCTACATACTCTAGGTACAATATCTAGAGCAGAGATCCCCAACCTTTTGACATTAAACCACAGACCGGTTTAATGTCAGACAATATTTTCACGAACCGGCCTTTAAGGTGTCGCGGATAAATTAACCACAATAAAATGATACGACCAAGACAAAAACAGTGGTATTTTGAAAATATAATAATGAATGTGAATTCACTGTGTAACTTTATTAGCAGCATCCTCCTGAAATGCGCCAACAGCATTCAGAGTAACATCCTCCTCTCTGTCCCTTAATGCTCTCTGGTTGCTATGGTAACGTGTAAATATTTCTTTCAAAATAAGGGACACAACTACAACACGGGAAAAGACCCAGGGAAACCGAGTTAATGATAAAAACCCTTAAAACCGTAAATTTCACACCAGAGCCTCAACTCTCGCGGCCCGGTACCAAACGAGTCACGGACCAGTCCATGGCCCGGTGGTTGGGGACCGCTGACCTACAGTATATGCGTATGTATGTATATACCCAGCACAACAAAAATATACGAAAGGAAACGTGGGTAAATGCTTTTTAAAGGGTTTCACTTTGTCATATATATATATGGGCATCTAAGTGTATTGCCAACTTTTTGTGCAACCAAAATATAGGTTAGTACATCTCAAACTCTACCATCTTTTGAATATTGAATAACAAAATAAAATATGGTAGCCACATGCCTTTTGTATCCTTAAAATGTGGCTTTTGTTAATTTGTGTAATGGGTAATTAACTGTATCAAACATACCTGTTCTGTATTTCTTGGACAAATTTGGCCTTCTGTTTGGAAACAACTGAACCTATAAGGAGAAATAGATGAAGAGAAAGATCCCAACTGAGCAAACCACCACCAGTGCGATGTTTAAGATGATTCTGGTCGTTGGAGGTTCATAGAGAAGCTCCTCCACCATCTTCTCCTGTTCTTGAACTGTTATGGCCTGATCTTTGGACAATTCCTCCTTGAATCCACAAAACCAATCCAAAACCTTAATACAACATCCACGCTCCTCTGTTGCGTCCCCTGCTCCACAGCTCTCGTCTTCCTCCTCCACTCCTCTTCTTTCCTCATTTTCTACCATTTTGGAGCCTGAACTCTGAGCACAGCCACCATTCTGTA